GCCGACTGCTGCCTTCACATCCCTTATCTGGCAGTTGTGCGGCTTGACTGCGATCATTTCGTGCCGCTGGCTGGTGGCTGTGGTCACCTGTTGGGCCGCGTTTCTCCGCCCTCCAGCTGTCCTCAGGGTCGAGAGCTCTGCTGGAAGGTCGCGAGACTACTGGCCCTTTTCTCGGGTTTTGCTTAGTTACGACAAACGCTGATTTACAACTTTAGATGAAATGCAGTTTCATGAGAAGGAAAACAGATGATAATTTTAGCATTTAGATAAAGAAACAAAACAATCTTGAATAAAAGATGAATATTGATTTTTGAAATTTCATTTACCAGGACTTGCAGCATTGTGCATAATTTGATTTTATTTCAGACTTCTTAATCATGTGCTGATGGAAATTGGCCATGAAGAACACACTTATTTTGGAGTTTAAAATTTAAGTAAAATGAACTTATTAGAATTTATGCTGAAACAATAATGGTATAACCCTTGTTGGTTGGCTGATTTCCTAAAATTCTCATAGAAACCCAAATTCATGGTGGCATGACTGTTTATGCCTGCATTGGAAATTCAGGTCGTGTGAGTGAGAGGTGGACAGTTTTTCTAAAGCTGTTGAGATTCCCCATCTTATTTAGTGGTGGTGCTTTATCGAAAGAGTAGACTGCAATAAACTTAGTTTATGCTTTCTTGGTCTCGATCATACTCAGGTGTGCCTCTTTGATGTTCACCCATTCAATTCAAACATTTATTGAGTGCCTACTACATCCAAGGCATCGGATTGGCATACACAAATGAATATATAGTCCCCGACCTCAAGAAGCTGGCAGTCCAGCGGGAGACAGATACCTAAACAGGTAATTATAATACAGTGCAGTTGACGGTCATTGAATTTGGGAGGGGGGCGGTTTCAGAAATTCTTTAGTCACACATCTCACACAGTCTCTTGGGTCATTCTCACAGATGCTCATTTCCTCCATTGTGTTTCAATCCAACCTACATTTCATCCTGATTCTCAGTTTACCTTACTTTGTTCTTGTTTCTTCTTTGACCAGAAAAATCTCCTTAAATATAGCACAACCATTAAAAGCAGTATGGAAAATCTATATGTGCTGACATGAAAATGATTTTACATGGATAAATGAAAAATATGGTTTGCCTTTGTGCGCTGAGGATGAATCCCATTTGTGAAAATACATTAAAAAATATAAATACATAAAATATATAAGTATATCCAACTGGATATTGGATGGTGGATATATATATATATATATATATATACACACACACTTGTATGTGATTTGAACATATGTGGAAGAATATGTGCCCATCTGTTTGCAATGGCTACTTTGGGGAAATGGGTTGGGGAAGGAAGAGGTTTCAACTTTTTATTTCATATAATTCTTCTCTATTTGATTTTTTTAACTTAAAAAATGTCTTTAAATATTTCTTAAAAATAAAAATACTGGTTAGCTCTCTATTATTCAGACAGACAAACCCAAACTAAGTGAAACGGAATGTCCTCCACTGAACCCTTAATCCACCTTTCCCACCCTAATCTTTCCCAACCCCCTGTACAAATCTCCTCTAACACACTGAGCGTATTCATTAATGTCTTAAGTCGACATGTATTTGTCGAGTGTTTACTAGGTGCACCGGGAATGTCTCAAAGAAGAACACAGCCTTACCTCTCTCTGCTTTAGTTTATATGCTTTCCTGTCCTGTGTGCTCTTCCATGCCCACCTCCTCCAGGAAGCCTTCCTTTCTTCTCCCTCCTCTGAATCTTATAGTATTTAATCTAGTGTAATCTTTTGAAGAGTCGTATTACTTAGACTAAATGCTCTAAGAGGATAGTAATCAGATCATCTAAAAGTTTTTGTACTGTTAGCTTTCACGTATTAACCGTATACTTACTGAATACAATAAACACAGAGCAGGGAAGCCTCCTGAATGGGCGGAGTGCTGCATGGAACATGCAGTGATGCAAAGGCCCATGAGGGAAACAATGAAAGACAAGCAGAGTGTTATGAGGATGTATACCAGGCACATGGACGCTGACCTGAGGGTGGGGCTTGGAAAGGCTTCCCGGGGCAGTCACAGCTAGCTGGGTTTGAAGGATGAGATGCGGTGCTTAGGGGGAGGGTCGCAGGTGGGAAGGACCATGGTGCGCAGGGGGAAGTGAAGGATGGCTGGATGCTGAAACCTAGAGCGAGAGGAGCAGCAACAGAGGGAGCTGGAGGGAGGGGTGGAAATCACATTGTATATGGCCGTGCCCACCGCCTTAAAGACCTTGGGCTTCATTCTCTGAGCAAGGGGAGCCATTGGGTGCTTTCAGCTGCAGGAGGGACAGGTCACACTTGCCCTTTAGAAAGGTCCTGCTGGCTGATGAGAGACAGCAGGTTAGAGAGAGCCTGGCTGTTTCCAGCAGTGCTGATCAGTCCATAGTCAACCGCTGGGCACTGACTGTTAATATAGCGCATGCTGTTCCGTCAGGTTAACATCTCCCTCAGCATCTCTATTCCTATGGCCTCTTTTCTACCAGTCCTCGAATGGCTCTACCATTTTCCTCTTAAAAAAGGGAAGCCCTGGCCAGTGTGGCTCAGTTGGTTTGACTGTCGTCCCAGGGAGCATTAAAGGGTCTCAGGTTTGATTCCAGGTCAGGGCACATACCCAGGTTGTGGGTTCCATCCCCAGTTGGGGTGTATGGGAGGCAACTGGTAGATGTTTCTCTCTCTTTTACCTTCTCCCTTCCTCTCTCTCTAAAATAACAAAAAAGGGAGGGGGCGAGAGACATGAATTTCCCAAGAGAGACTACCCAGATTGTCCATACATATGTTAAAAAGCAATCAACTCCATCTTTGTAATCAGTGAACTACAATTATACACCACTACACCACTTACCAGATGATAAAAATTAAAAAGAGAGGCAATACCTAGTGTTGCCAGGACTTTGCTACCCTGCTGGTGAGAGTATAGCTCTGTTTACCTCCATGGAAAGCTGGCAGTGCCTCCTAAAAATGAACATGCCTTTACCCCATCACCCAACAATTGCCTCAAAGACATGCACGAGGAAATTCATGGCAGCGTTACTCATAATAGCCCCAAACTGAAAAACAGCAACACGTTTTAACATGGATAAATAAAACTTGTGGGATAGTCATACTTCGGGATACTATAGAGCAGTGAAAAGAAATGAACCACAGCTACACCAACAATCTAATGTAGAGCAGAAAGCAGCCAGACACTAGAGAATATACACTGTGGTTCCAATTATTAAGGGTTCAATCGATGCTGTTCGAGATCAGGATGGTGGTTACCTCTGGAGAGTAGGGAGGGGGCAGAGGGTGGGAAAGGGCCCGGGCATGGGTATGTCTGGGGTGTTCATTACATTCTGTTTCTTGACCTGGTGCTTGTTCCATGAGTGTGTTCTCTTTGTGATAAATCATTGAGCTGTATGCTTAGGATTTGGGCACTCTTCTATATGGGTATTGTATTTTAATGAAAAAACAATAAAAAGGAAAGAATACAAAACTTAAGATTCTGTCCCAAAGGAATAAAAAAGAAAATCAAGATATCAAAACCGCCTCCTTCTCAGCTTTGAGAGTGTGTCAAGGAGAACCTTGACTTACCTTGGCCAGTTCTTTCTCTCTGGTCTCTTCTGATGTCACCTCCTCTCCACAGCCCCCTCCAGGACCACTACCCAGGCCCCTCACTCTTCCTCGCTGTTAGGCTGCTGGAGAGTCTCCTGTTGAAGGAATTTTTTTTAAACTTTGGTTTTGGAGACAGTTTTTATGACTTGCTTCTCTTTTTGTTAGTTATCTGACTACTCAATTAGCTCTCTTCTAGAGTTCCTGAAGGTTTTTTTTCCTTTATCCAACTTTTATACACTAGGAAGATAGAGCCTCTTTACTTTGCACATTGTTAATTGTTTGTATTGTTGCAGGAACTATGTCTTAATCTGCAACTCAGAACATAATTAATACAAATAAATTTATAAAAATTTTACCCCCTTGACTTAACTTGGTACCACTGGGCCAAGATTCTTCCCACTTGAATGAGGTGTCCCCACCCTTCGCGTTTCCAGGCCTGTGCTGGAATCTCTGGATTCACGTTTCTGCAGGGAGCTGTGTCACGATTGGGCAACTCACCTTCCCTTTCTGACGCTGATGCTCTCATTTACAATCAGGATAATAAAAGTCCTCTCCTTTCAAGGCTGTTGTGACATTTAAATGAGGAAATACATGCAGAATGCCTGGCATAGGAGAGCTGCTCAACAAATGGGAGCTATTCTTATAATCCCACTAAGGGCAGGAAGTGCTGGTGATTTGCACCTGCAGATTAAATGAGTGGCACGTGCTATTCAGAGGGGTTGATCTGTAGAGAGCAAGTGGTGAGCACTGTACCCGGTCCTATTGGAAAAGTGGTCATTTCTCCTAAACCTCAGTCAGCCCAGGAAAGGGCAGCCTGATTTAGGGTCAGTCACAGATAAAACAGATCAGGCAACACCATGTTTGATTTCTCTCAAACCCAGGTGATTATACTGCTGACGAGGACTGGGGAACGAGAGGAGTGCTCCACATCTTAGAGAATCTTGTAAAATGCTTTAACAAATATATAAGAATCATATATAATTGGCACACGCTTTGTTTGAATGCAAACACTGCTGTTAAAGTGGTGCTTAAAAACAGTTTGTTGGCCTTCTCTTCGTACAGGAGAAACATTTCTCTCGTTTACACTACTCCCTTGCTTAGCAAACCCTTATTTATCCTATAATGCAAGTGTAATCTGCCCAACACGTCCAAACGCCCGCAGATTCTGAATTCGTGGAGGCTGAATTCACAAGGTTTCAGGCTGTCCCTCGTGAAGATGGGCTCAGAAAACTACGCATCCTGCAGTTGCAAGAGCAGGCTCAGAAAATGACTCCTCCCTCCTCTCTCCACCTCTTCCTGCCTGTGTGTTTCAGTCCTGTCACAGGAGACGGAGGCAAAGACTCAAAAGTGTGCTCTTCGGACATTTGAATAGTTGTTTATTGAGAAGCCACAGTTTTTCACACGTTCATAACTGTAGGCTTTATATAAGGCAAAAGCAGGATGGATCCACTAGTTTACACAGAAAGAAATAGCTCTGCAGAGGACCCCAGGGTCGTGCAGTTACAGATCAAAATGCAATGTACATGACAGATATAAAAAACAGTGTGGAACAAAACCATTTAAGTTATGGTTACAGTCTACTGAAGGAAGTATCCATATCTTATTATAAACACATTTATAGTCTAGGCCTGTAATTTAAATATTCAGTTTTTTTACATACACGGTTATTGAAACGTAAAAGCAAAACGTAACATGTACTAGGATAGACTTGGACAGAAGACAGTCGCTCTGAACTGTGCTTGGTGGTAAGTCACGATGGGCTAACCTTTGCCACGGCAATCGAGAGGACCAACCCATGGGTACGTAGCCATCCTGTTCTGGCTAAACTATAAGGATAAGTGAAGGGACGGGTTTACAAGGACACCAGGGCTTCATTCTTTTGTTTTAGGGGGACAGAGAGAACCAAAAGTTGGTTGTCAGAGCCTTGCCTTTTGTTTCTCAAAAAACAGAGCAGAGCTACGTGTCTCAGTTAAATTAATTGATTGTACTCCTTTAAATAACCGGCACCCACATACGTGAAACAGAGAAGTGAAAGTACTGGCGCTGGCCCTCGGTCCATCGACCGGCAACGCACACGCGCGTGAACGAGGCCTCAGCGTGGGCTCGCCGTGCTGGGAACAGGGACACGCCTAGCGGCTGGGCCGCGCTCTCGGTGAACATGTTTAAAGGATGCTGCTCCTATTGCTGTAAACATACGGACACGGGCCAGGAAGGGGCGGGCTGGAAGGTCGTTTGCTAATCTTGATACCACAGAGCTAAGATGGCAATTGTATTGGTAAACATCTCATGGGCGTGGTGATTGACAGAAAATTCCCTAATGGGGTAACTAACAGACTAAGGACATGCATTGATTACGGGGCCGGCCCCTCCGGACGCCAGGCCCGAGCCTTCTGGTCGCCTAGTCGTCCTCTTCGTCTTCTTCGTCACTGTCCTTCATGCTGATGCCCTGCAGGCCGCCCCCCTCGCTCACCGACGCGGTGGCCTCCTCCACGGTGAGCCGGTTCCGGATGGTCTCGTACGTCTTGCTGTTCAAGGTCGAGTCCAGGACCCCTTGCAATCGGAAGTCCCTGTAGGTTTTCTAGGGAGGGAAGAGACGCAGTGGTCAGGGCGGAGAGGGACGGGACAGGAGCGGGCGCGGGCCTGCGACAGGGGCGGCCAGCGGCCTGCGGGGCTCCACCCGCGGTCCGAGGGAAAGCACCGCGCCCAGGCTGCACTGGCGCCCGCGCCGCGACTTGTGCCGTGACAGCAAATGAGACCCTGCGACAGGATAAACTATTAGATGAGACAAAGCAAAGAACATAAGCTTGTGTTTATTCAGTTCCATGAAGGGAAATGCTCCATAATTGTTTGGGCTCCTTTTTTTTGGTGTGTGTGGGGCCTGGTTCTTTCTCTTAGGCTATTATAATAGAGACAGTGTACGGGGCTATTAGCATGCACACGGTGGCCCGAGCGATCGTGGTATTTTGCGGTTCTGGTGCTGCAGTCTGGTCTTTAGTATTTCTCAGGCTCGTAGCTGCACATCCCTCTGCCTCGCTCACAAGACAGACATATGCGTGTTGTGCGTGGAGCCTATTAGGCAGCAGCGATTGTGGGGAAGATGGAGCGCTGAAGCCTCGCCAGCACGTCGCAGGCACGCGACTCATTTCTCATCTCCTTGGGAAAGGAGCGCATCTCCTCCGTTCACAGCTTCAGGGTCTTGGGGAAGAAATCTGGCCCTTTTGCAAGATGCCCTGCTTGGTATTAGTGTGCCACAGACCCTTTCTTTGTTCCTTCAGGCAATTTCTCTCAGAGTTCCTTAGGTATCCCAAGGACTGTTTTTCTAGAAATCCCTTAGGGCTAATTGAACATGACCAGAAGCATCTGGCCGTTGTCTACTTTGTAAAAAATTGTACTGAAAGAGGACTCTGTCTCTAGCTACAACTCTCCTCCCCACGCTGCATGTCATTTCAGCCACCGACTCTGCTGTTCGTTTCTCCTAGGGATGTGGAAAACTCTACGCCCCTCCCAGCGGGGTTTCTATGTTTTTGTAGTCCATCTAATGCAGTCATAGTGTCACCAGTCACAAGGCCCACCCCTCTGGAAGGTCGTGTGTCGTAATGACTGCAGAGTTAACTGGTGAATGCAGTCCAGCTCACCACGTCCAGTCATTAGGATTACTGACAGGATGACTCCATGGCTACTTGGCCAGTTTACACCTGCTGTCCCTGCTATGATTTTTCATAGCACCTGACCCCCTTAAAAGCAATCTGGTCTTGACACTAAATTAAAAGGTCATCCTAATTATGGACCGAGATGCTAGCTCTCCTAGGTAGCTGCCTGGATTGCCTTCACCTCGAGGGGGAGGGCGAGGGGGTTGAATAAATGTAGGCACGGCGTATACCAGAGACCCAGGTATTAACTTGATTTATTTTGTACTTTTCAATCATTTGTTCTGCTGACACTTAGCATAACTTAATCGCTGCCAGAATATGATGGGGGAAAGGTCGGTAGAAAGCACTGGAATGCTCTCCCCTTTATTGAGGGTCCAGAGCCGTGTGCCCTCCGGCTGGGCAGGGACTGGGCCTCGTTACTTTTCAATCCTTCATCTTGTGCTATAAAAGTAAGGGCTCAGCTAATATTTGTCCCATGNGTGCTCTCCCCCTTATTGAGGGTCCAGAGCCGTGTGCCTTCCAGCTGGGCAGGGACTGGGCCTTGTTACTTTTCAATCCTTCATCTTATGCTATAAAAGTAAGGGCTCAGCTAATGTTTGTCCCATGTTGGACGGAAGAGGAAATGGTGCTGAGTAATGAATGACGGGAGGACTCCGTGGGGTGGGTGCAGAGGCAGGGACCAGAGCCCGTCGTCCTTGGGCGTTCGCCTCAGAGACCGTGGGTAATGTGCTTTGTGAAGAGGGGGTGGGTTCCAGCTCACGCCTCTGTGCCGAGGCTCCGGCTACGCTGGGCCCACTGTTGGCAAAAGTGAGGGGTTCCTGTGGCAGTGATGTCTCTGTGTCCCTTCCCTATGGCTCAAGTCTGGGTGGGTTTTTTGGGTTTTTTTTGGCAGAAGGCTAAGCATAAACCTCCTCTCTTTGACATTTTTTTCCTCAATAAATTATTGCTAATTCCAACATTCCCAACATAGATCTGGAGATATCAGTAATGGGAAGATATTTAAAAATATTAAAATTAATGCCTGATTTTCATGTCTATTCATTAGGGGGTTAAACAGAAATTCCCCCAAAGAATATTTATACCCAGAAAATGGAACTCAGGGAGTCAACCGGTAATGACCAGTGAGCTTGCTTTAAGGAACTGAGATAACAGAATGTGAACATTAGGCTGGGTCTGTGGTCCGAGTACATACGTTTCTTCCTTAAGATCCGCAGGACACCACTGCCTGTAACCTTCCCTGGGTGGACTCTTTGTGAGATCAAATGCAGATGATAATAATTCTCCTTAATTACACTCATTGGAGCAGTGATTGGTTTTAAGTCAGAGCTGGGTAGAGGAGCACCTTCAGTGAAATGGTGCTAATCTGAAGGAGACTAGGAAATGGGGTAGGGGGGTGAGGTGGGGGGACTTTCAGCAAACTTAAGAAATAGAAATTCAGCTACATTTTATTGTTAAAATATTTTAAAAGAGACTTTGTGCTTTGAACAAGATTTTTGCATACACACGTTTTTGAACCTGCTATGGAGAAGCATCGAATGAAAACTGAAATGATCAAAAACGTATTTACCCCCTTCTGTGATCTTATTATTTCATGTAAACCATGAGATTTCACACTGAAATAATTATCATTAGTCCAAGGTGCACACGCAAGAACAGGGGAAAAGCTACTTTCAGGGTATGTTATCTCACCTTCGTGAGCCTTTACGTTGGGTTGTACACAGGCATTGTAAGAGAAACTACTTCAATTAACAACGAGAACAATATTGCTTTGCATCCTGACAATGATCTTGGGACATATTTAGAGATAGCTGGAGGTAAATATTTCTATTAAATCAATTGTGGCAAACATTTATTTAATTAAACCACAAATAAAATTGGTAATTGGTGTGATTAGCACAGTGGTACCAAAAGCCAGCTTTTGAAAGTATAATGCAAAGGGAACAATGGCCCCTGCAGTATTTTTACATGGCAAATAGATAAAGTATTTTTACAGCCTTGCTAAAATGTCAGATTCCTCCCTATGAAATCTTCCTCCAATGTCTGAGCAACAAATTAACCGTGCATCCCCAAAATGATTTTACAGGTTTTTCTTGCCTGAGATACTGAGGTGGAAATCATCTCGTTTTACATGTAAACTCATATTCTTTGTGTTAAGGAAGTTTTTCAGTTTGCCAACGAAACACATTTCAGGAAGCTATTTGCAAAGAAGAAGAATTTTTTTTCTTTTACCTTTACCATCCTAATTAGTGTTTTCAACTGATAAATGTGAAGCTGTAAGTCCATCCGGTCCGTCAACCAGGTGCAGATCACGTTCATGGAGCTGTTGTACCATTGCTGAAAAAAGAGACAAGAGTTCTCCAGCGAATGGGTCATGGAGCAAACGTTTAGAGAGCAGAGAGGGAGCAGGCCACGCTGGAGCACCCCACTCGGTCCCGAGAGGAAACAAAACAGTTAAAGAGAGTTTGAAAGCATAGAGATCATGAACGATTATTGACATAAAGTCACAAGAGACCAGATCAGCCTAAAAAAGATCGGTTTGGACTTTGAATGTAAAACAGAATTCCTCCACTGTGGACATCTCATGTACGATCGGTTCATTAGATCACCCTTTGCTCTTCTGATTCTCTTTTTTGTTGGTTCATTTGACTCACTCGAGATTCAAGTCCCTATTTCCTAATGCCATTGTCTCGGGTGCCCAGGAAGATGGGGCTTNTACTCACTCAAGATTCAAGTCCCTGTTTATTTCCTCATGCCATTGTCTCGGGTGCCCAGGAAGATGGGGCTTCTCCGCTGAACTAATAAGTGATGTCACTTGCTACTTACCTTTTGAAAAATCCAGACTTGGTCTTCTAAGGACAATTCCAAGAATCATGGTTAAGAGCCTTANGACTCACTCGAGATTCAAGTCCCTATTTCCTAATGCCATTGTCTCGGGTGCCCAGGAAGATGGGGCTTCTCCACTGAACTAATAATTGATGTCACTTGCTACTTACCTTTTGAAAAATGCAGACTTGGTCTTCTAAGGACAATTCCAAGAATCATGGTTAAGAGCCTTAAAAATACAGGGCAAAGTTTACTTTCATTGTCCTTCCTGGGGTGTTTAGACAAAGACAATGAAGGAAGGAGGTTTCTCTTTAATGGCCAAATTATACTCTGGGCATCTTCTGTGCCCTTACATTGGCTGTGCAATCTGTTTTAATCTTAACACCCAAAAATTATGGAAGATGAGAGAAAAAAAAACATCTAGAAATGAGCTCATTTCAAGCTGTTGAAATCATACTTCCCCTTAAGGGGGTTAAATTTTGCTTCTTGTCTGTGAAAAATGCTTGAAGCTGTGTCACTTTAGACTGCCACCCCTGTGGTGCAGGAAGTCTCTGGTGCGCTATGATTTTGCAGTACTGCTCATATATTCATAAATCTCACTCGGAGACATATGAACAGTGTTATGAAGTGTCAGTATGAAAAAAAAATCTAATCTTTTAAACTTCACCAGGTTTCATTACGCATTGCCGCTTATACCAAACAATTTACAAATAAAATGAAAAGGTGTGGATGGACCTATACAGTTATTTACTGGGCATCTATATGAACTGGGCACAGAAAAGATGTAAAAAAAAAAAAAAAAAAGAGAGGAGAGTGGTTAGAGAATTGAGACGATGCACACTCTCATGCTAACCAACACACATACACACACGCGCGCGCACGCACACACACCGCACACCAGTGGGGATTTGAAAAGCATAAATAAAAACATGTTTCTGATGGTAACTCCACCCTTTCTCACCTAAAGATCATCCAAAATCAGTTTATGCCTAACACTCACAGTTTTTCCAAAGCCTTGTTTCTGACTTAATTTCTTTAAAAAAAATTAATTTGGGTTTTTTACTTGCAAGGTAGAACTGCCAAGTTTCACCTTGCAAGAAGCGGCGGAGTCTCAGNCCTGCTATGGAGAAGCATCGAATGAAAACTGAAATGATCAAAAACGTATTTACCCCCTTCTGTGATCTTATTATTTCATGTAAACCATGAGATTTCACACTGAAATAATTATCATTAGTCCAAGGTGCACACGCAAGAACAGGGGAAAAGCTACTTTCAGGGTATGTTATCTCACCTTCGTGAGCCTTTACGTTGGGTTGTACACAGGCATTGTAAGAGAAACTACTTCAATTAACAACGAGAACAATATTGCTTTGCATCCTGACAATGATCTTGGGACATATTTAGAGATAGCTGGAGGTAAATATTTCTATTAAATCAATTGTGGCAAACATTTATTTAATTAAACCACAAATAAAATTGGTAATTGGTGTGATTAGCACAGTGGTACCAAAAGCCAGCTTTTGAAAGTATAATGCAAAGGGAACAATGGCCCCTGCAGTATTTTTACATGGCAAATAGATAAAGTATTTTTACAGCCTTGCTAAAATGTCAGATTCCTCCCTATGAAATCTTCCTCCAATGTCTGAGCAACAAATTAACCGTGCATCCCCAAAATGATTTTACAGGTTTTTCTTGCCTGAGATACTGAGGTGGAAATCATCTCGTTTTACATGTAAACTCATATTCTTTGTGTTAAGGAAGTTTTTCAGTTTGCCAACGAAACACATTTCAGGAAGCTATTTGCAAAGAAGAAGAATTTTTTTTCTTTTACCTTTACCATCCTAATTAGTGTTTTCAACTGATAAATGTGAAGCTGTAAGTCCATCCGGTCCGTCAACCAGGTGCAGATCACGTTCATGGAGCTGTTGTACCATTGCTGAAAAAAGAGACAAGAGTTCTCCAGCGAATGGGTCATGGAGCAAACGTTTAGAGAGCAGAGAGGGAGCAGGCCACGCTGGAGCACCCCACTCGGTCCCGAGAGGAAACAAAACAGTTAAAGAGAGTTTGAAAGCATAGAGATCATGAACGATTATTGACATAAAGTCACAAGAGACCAGATCAGCCTAAAAAAGATCGGTTTGGACTTTGAATGTAAAACAGAATTCCTCCACTGTGGACATCTCATGTACGATCGGTTCATTAGATCACCCTTTGCTCTTCTGATTCTCTTTTTTGTTGGTTCATTTGACTCACTCGAGATTCAAGTCCCTATTTCCTAATGCCATTGTCTCGGGTGCCCAGGAAGATGGGGCTTCTCCACTGAACTAATAATTGATGTCACTTGCTACTTACCTTTTGAAAAATGCAGACTTGGTCTTCTAAGGACAATTCCAAGAATCATGGTTAAGAGCCTTAAAAATACAGGGCAAAGTTTACTTTCATTGTCCTTCCTGGGGTGTTTAGACAAAGACAATGAAGGAAGGAGGTTTCTCTTTAATGGCCAAATTATACTCTGGGCATCTTCTGTGCCCTTACATTGGCTGTGCAATCTGTTTTAATCTTAACACCCAAAAATTATGGAAGATGAGAGAAAAAAAAACATCTAGAAATGAGCTCATTTCAAGCTGTTGAAATCATACTTCCCCTTAAGGGGGTTAAATTTTGCTTCTTGTCTGTGAAAAATGCTTGAAGCTGTGTCACTTTAGACTGCCACCCCTGTGGTGCAGGAAGTCTCTGGTGCGCTATGATTTTGCAGTACTGCTCATATATTCATAAATCTCACTCGGAGACATATGAACAGTGTTATGAAGTGTCAGTATGAAAAAAAAATCTAATCTTTTAAACTTCACCAGGTTTCATTACGCATTGCCGCTTATACCAAACAATTTACAAATAAAATGAAAAGGTGTGGATGGACCTATACAGTTATTTACTGGGCATCTATATGAACTGGGCACAGAAAAGATGTAAAAAAAAAAAAAAAAAAGAGAGGAGAGTGGTTAGAGAATTGAGACGATGCACACTCTCATGCTAACCAACACACATACACACACGCGCGCGCACGCACACACACCGCACACCAGTGGGGATTTGAAAAGCATAAATAAAAACATGTTTCTGATGGTAACTCCACCCTTTCTCACCTAAAGATCATCCAAAATCAGTTTATGCCTAACACTCACAGTTTTTCCAAAGCCTTGTTTCTGACTTAATTTCTTTAAAAAAAATTAATTTGGGTTTTTTACTTGCAAGGTAGAACTGCCAAGTTTCACCTTGCAAGAAGCGGCGGAGTCTCAGCCATGGCGTTCAGAAGCCCTCTCTGAAATCTTGCATTTCTAGGCTCCTTTCTCATCGGCGCCAACGGCGGCTCTCCTTGGAGCCCAGCCGCAAGCAGAGACCACATACCCCAACCGAGGCAGCGCTGCAGCCTCGCAGCCAACGTCTGCTCTTTTAAAGATCATGGAGGCGAAACTGTCAGCGTGGAACCTTCTGTCCCTCCCCGGGGAGCAGGCGGTCGGGGTGGGGAGTTTTTCCTGAGATCTGCAGTTCACTCCTGGGGGGCGGGTTGCCGGGTCAAGCTGCTTCAGGCATGGACAGGTTTTCCCCTCTGGGAGTGAGAACATTTTACTGGAACTTTTTTTGGGGGGGCAGGGTTATTGGGGTGTTTTGGCACCTCCTGCCTGCGGATTCTGGAGCTTGTGCTGTCACTGTATTTGGGTTTGTTAAGAAGGGGGCTGGAGACAGGAATCTCACTGGGTCACTGGCGTTCCCTCAGCCCTATCTTACTCTCGGCAGCTGGGGATGCTCCTGTGTTCGCCCCAAGCCTCAAATTCCACATTTACGAGCTGTTTCTGACATGCAATCTGGGGGCTCAAATAACCTATTTTGAGAGTTATGAGCAATCTCCCCCACCCCCAGCTCCTGGGGATGAAAGATGACCTTCGAGGAACCCAGCTGACCTCCTGGCCAAACCTACAAGCCCAGGGCCTCACGATGGGTGTATCTCAGGGACACAAAAGAGGAATGTGGCACTCTGGCTTCTAGGCAGAGGTGGCATTTTGCTTTGGCTGTGACAACAGGCAAACCGGCGCTGGCTCCGATCACTGCCAGCAAGCCTTGTGCGACATGCCTTTTCTCTTTGCTAAGAGACGTGCCACCTTCCAGGAAAAAATAACGACCCCCACCCCTGTTTTATATGAGTAGTTCCCATTCTTGTAAAAAATCAAAACAAAAAGGTAGAATACCATGAGGACTCTGCCTGCTGCCGAAAGGGCAGAGCGGGAGGCGAGGCCCAGCGCATGCATCACACGCACAGATGCCCACCCGGGAGAGCAAGAGCGCCCTGGAACATCCATTCCTCCTGGATCTCACATCTAGCAAGAGAAGTGTAAAAAATGTATGATGCCCCATTGGCTACACATTTCAAGAGGCAAAAGGGAGAAGTCGCTCCTTTCCAAACCTTCTGCTCAGGAGATGAAGTTGGCGGCACTTTTGGACGCAGCACAGCGCTAACTTGGTTTTCTGGAAAGCGCTTAAAGGCACTTGGATGGCGGAGAAAGCAGGAGTCACTGCCTTCTAGAACTTTAAAATGGTAGAGGTGAAAGGGATCTTCCACATTATCCTTTGTAGAGGAGAAAACAAAGGCACAGAGAGGTGCAGCAACTTGCCCAGGGTCACACAGCTGGTGAGTGCGGTTCTCCAGGATTAAGCACTGGACTGAAATAAAGGATCACCTGATCACTCTTCCCTGAGAGCTATAATAATAGTGTGCTCTTCATGAGAGCTAATCCTGTGCATCTCTTCCCAGCTCCACATTCAGGGTAGCACACTGATAGGCAGAAATAGGCCATGGTAGGAATGTTTACACCATGGAAATTGGCTAACACCTCAAACCAGGGCATTCTCCCTCCCAGGAAGCCAGTTGTTAAACACTGATCAGCAGATTCTTGGGTATCTGGGTGGCTCCTGGTTTCCTCGTGCAGTTTATAGGGCTTACTCATCAGGTTTGCTTTAGTTGAGATCGATGCTAATACTGAAGGTTTGTTATGATTTTTCTGAAGGGGAAATTAATAAAGCATTTCTAGTTCTCCCCATTTTGTTTTCTCTGTGACTCAGCTAAGCCTTTTCCAGAGATATCCTAACACCTGGGCACTACAATTTAGGAAAAATGTTCTCTAAACCCTTAGGAATAAAAAATGTGAGCTGATGACATGGACTAAGTATTTAAGTATAATCATGACTGCTTTGCTGCCTGCTTTTAATTTGGGTCTATTAATTGTAAACTTCCTAAATGAGGTTATTTTAATCCTAAAAAAGCACTGGAGAAATAAAATCCCCAGTACCTTGGACACCTGTAAAGTATGCCCTCTGGGCATAATGCTGTAAGGGTTTTATAGTTGGAACTAGAAAGGGAGCCCATCACAGATGTGGCCTGCAGGACAATAGGCCCTTAGAAAGTTGGGGGCTGCTCCAGTAGCAGCGACCACTTCCAAAGGCTCTAGGAGGAGCTGGAAGGCTAATCTAAAACTTTCCCACTTAGCTCCTCTTTCTTCCATTCTACACTGTAGTCACGAAGAGCACAGACCTCACCTGTCTTTTTCCTGGGTTTATGATCTTGGACAAGTTACTTACATTCTCAGAGACTCAGTTTCCTAATCAAAAATGGGATTAACCAGTCTTCCATAGGCTTTTTGGTGACTAACTTAGGTAATGTGAGTTAAAGCTCTCATCACAGCGCTTGGCATACGATAAGGCCTCAGTAAATGCCGCTGCTGCCACCACCACCTCCGTCACCATCACCATCACCATCATCCCCCCCCCCATTCTCTTCTTTCTCTCCTTCCCCCTCCCTCCCCAAGAAATACTAGAAAACAAGGGAGAAAGCAGAGCAGGCGACCGGGAAGGCCATGTCCCTTGGTGGAGGGGGAAGTGGTTCCTAATGGAGTATCTCTGGAACTGTGAGCTTAACTCTGAAAGGACACACGACTAGCTCTTAGAAATGCAATTCTGTTGTAAACTTGTTTTGTGGTAGATCATCCCCCAAACCTACTAACCATCCTGGGTGCATAAAGCAAATCTTATAGTGCACTGACCTAGATGCGAACCCTGCGTGGATAAGTTACAGCTTCATCTTGGGTTGCCCTCTATTAGCTGGGTAAGCTCAAGCAAGCTACTTAACTCCCTCTCACTTTCCTCTCGGGGTTAATACCAGTACCTAATTCATAGGATTACTGTGAGCATTAAAATAGATGATTACTTTATGTAAATTGCCTCGCAGGCTGACTGTCACATAGTAAGCACTCAATAAAATTTAGTCACTTTGGTTATTACTCTCAGAAATCTAACAGATACAAGTACTTTCAATGTAAACACAAAGGGATTTTCTCAATGTACTTCCTAGTAGAAGCTTAGGTAGATAATATACAGATACCCTTGGGTCACACATTCTGCCCTGCAAGCACACAAACTTCATGCAAGCAACCCTTACACAGAACGTGTATCTTCTGCAGTACCAGGTTCACTATAACCAGGACTGGGGGAAGCAAGTAAGGCAGGATCTTACAAGTACAGGATTGGATACTGTCTTTAATTAATATTTTGATATTTTGTTCATCATGAATTTTTGGCATTAATTCTGATTTTTTAAAATGTTGTATTAAAATATTATTTTTCTCGATTACTGTATTTCTTAAAACTGAGAAGTTCCAAAATTTTGCAACTGAGAAGTGACTCATGTACCTCTCCCTAGTCCCTACCCCTGGGTTTACTGTTCCCCTAGAAAATTTATCTCTTGGAGAGGCTTCAGGGTAGAGGGGTAAGATAAATAATTCACACCTCATTAGACAACATAGAGTTCATAGAATATGGGCTTTCACTTAGATTTGGAGAGTCCCTAATCAGCAAGATGGAGCATTACTAGTGACCATGGCCATCTCC